GCTCCGCAGATACTCCGCGTACTAAAGTTGTACTACAAAGTCGCCAGTTCTCATCTTCCAGCTCCCCAGATACTCCGCGCACTAAAGTTGCACTAGAAAGTCGCCAGTTCTCAGCTTACAGCTCCATAGATTACTCCGCGTACTAAAGTTGTACTACAAAGTCGCCAGAGGGTTGCGCGCACACCCGGCAAATCGCACTCTCGCCTGCATTTCGCGCACTCGACACGCACGATCTCCGCAGAGGGTTGCGCGCGCACCCGGCCGATCGCACTCTCGCCTGCATTTCGCGCACTCGACACGCACGATCTCCGCAGAGGGTTGCGCGCGCAGCCGGCGAATCGCACTCTCGCCTGCATTTCGCGCACTCGACACGCACGATCTCCGCAGAGGGTTGCGCGCACACCGGACAAATCGCACTCTCACCTGCATTTCGCGCACTCGACACGCACGATCTCCGCAGAGGGTTGCACTTTCGGTTGATGCTGTTCGTCCCGCACTCCGCCTTTAAGAGAGAATTTATAAAGTGGGGAAATGTTTTTTCATTAGGACATCTCCCGTGCTAGTTTTCCATACTCACACTTGCCTACTCATTGCATACTCACACTTGCCTACTCATTGCATGCTTGCATAGTCATTGCATGCTTGCATGCCCACCCTTGCATATCATGCTTGCATGCTTTCGCTCTTCCAGTGTGTGTGTGTGTGTGTAAGTGTGAGTGTCGAAGTGTAAGTGTCGAAGTGTCAGTGTTCAAAGGATTTTCCGGAAGAACCCTTCGCAATGCTTTCGGGAAAAAAACACCTTAAGCGAGACCAAGTATATGTCGTACTGTAACACTTACCGTGGTAACTGTGTGGCTCACCTTGGCCTTGCAGTGCCCGCGGTGAACCCTTTCGCCTGATCAACCATATACCGCAGAGACCATGGACGGCAAACGGTCGTTCAACTCAGCCCACGGCTACAGCACAGCTTTTCAGCTATGCTCAGCACACTTGCAGCAAGGCTCACTCACTTGTAGTTGGTGGTTTCAACCCACGAGTCCCTCCAACAACTATGGAAATGGAACAAGGCGATGTTCCAAATTGACCGCAGGTCACTCTGCTACCAGTAAAACATAGTAAAACCACACTGGTCACCATATTTGTTCAAGATCAAGTCACCAAATTCAAATAAAGAAGGGACATCCCAGGAACCTGGTGCACTCTCCTCGCCTGCTTCGTCATGTTCCGCCACCCCACCTGCTTCGTACGCCACACACGAAGAACCCCACTCTCGCGTCTGAGGTCGCCACAGTACGCCTCGGGTGTGGACGGCCATCCCCAGAACTCGACGGGAGTTGCACACCAGGAAAACACACTTGTTTCTGCTTGGGAATGGAAGGAACCTGGTTAGAGAGCCTGGTTAGATAATGTTAGATATACTTGGATTTGCTGTCCAACCTGGAGGAAAAACTAAACAACAAGATTCCCCAGAAGGGGATTTACATGACAAAATCACCTTAAGCAAAGGACTGTGCACGCGGGTAGTCTTTTCTTGAACCCGGTACCCCCCTTCGATGAGGTTGACTGACGTGAAAACATTTGGGCCCCAACTCGCGGGAGGGATTTTTGACATCCCTGATTTCGAGAGTGGCTTCGAACAGGAAATTGAAACTAGGCGACCTCTCTGAAGACTAAAGAACATCGCCGTTGACCAGAAAATGATGTGAAGACTGGAACTTCAGACATAGGATGACCTCGAGCAGCCCCTCCACTATGTGGGGTACCGGAGGGTGCTCTGCAACAAAGATTAACAAAGTATCTAAAACATGCGACCACAGAGGAACCCAAACAAAGAACCGGATTAAGCCACCGTCCAAGAGAAAGTTAAGCGTGAATTAAGGCGGCAATGTTTTTTTTTTTTTTTTTCGAATTCAAGTATCCACTTCAAGATTCAAAGACTAAGTTCTATATTATTTTGCGAATGCATGTTTTGACACGGTTCTCTGCGGGACGCTGAAGCAAGGCGGAACGATCAAGACACACCCAACTAGCAAGGTCTTGGCCCCGGTCGCCCCGGTGGATTCCCACACCTCCCGTGGTCGCCGTCGTCGGACCGACCGGTCCCTCGTTCGCCCAGTGGCCCAAGGAGAAGACGTCGCCGAAGATGGTCCAAACGCCATGGGTCCAGACCTGCGAAGAACTGCGGGCGGCACCGGAGGGCAGCTCCCGCGGTAAATGCGGGAGCCCCTGGCCTGTTTTCGTGGTGCTCCAGACGACAAAGTCACAAGGGAGTGGCAGAAGTCCCAAAGAATACCAACGAACATTGATGTTGGGGGGCCTCACGCCCTTTGGAATTGGATGCGTGCATGCATTTCCAGCTAGCCTATCTTCCTTGCAGAAGCACAATCCCCGCTGGCAGCAGATTTGGCCATGGAACAAGAGCCTCCCAGAAAAAGTCAACATGCAAAGGTCAAGGTGGTCACGTATTGTTTTATGTTCTTCAATACAAAATGCAGCCCCCCTCTTAGGGCATTTCAACCGGCATTCCATCTTGACCGTTTGCCCCAACAAGCCAAAGAAACCACTGGTCTTTGAACAGCTCAATTAGAGGCTTTCAGATGAGAGCCAAAGTGAAAAGAAGAGCAAGCTTGGATGACTTCATGCTATATCCCTCTCAAAGGTCCTCAAGGCAGCTCAAGGATGCCGAGGGTGGGGTGCATGACCGATTTCCAAGAGGAAAGGAAGAGGAGGAGCAGCTTGGGTTTGGAGAAGCAAAGGTCCACAAGCGCAGTTTTGCTTGGTGTATGCATCATTGCACTTGGCAGCCTTCCCTTCCACAACCCCTCCCTAAAAATTCTACCAGTTCCCTTGCGCTATCTTGCGTTTGTTTGGTCACGTCTGGTCACCGGTCGGTTTTTGCCCGCCTCAGGAGGCATGTAGCCTGGGGTTCCCATCACCCCAGTGCTACCCTTCTTAAAGTCCCGCGCCAGGCCGAAATCAATGACCACAACGTTCCTGGGAGTCGGTTCGGGAATCCCAGCACGTCTAAGCCGGCCACACTTGCAACCTGACTTGGGACAGATCCTATAGGTCCTAGGTTAGTATAGTTAATATCGTCACTGCTTTGGGTAAGCACTGAACATTACTCATCCATGTGATCCTTCAAGTAGCTGGCTATCATCAGTCTACGTTCGTTCAACTCTCTATCCGGGAGGAGACTCTCCGGACGTCGTGCTTCTCACCGCGGGGACCTCGCGTTTCGTCCCGTCGCCAGGTGTCGGTTCATTCCAGTCAGCGTCGCGGCTGATCATCACGTTGGGCTCTTTGATGTCGCAGTGCATGCAGCGGTTGTTGTGGAGGTACAGGATGCCGGCCTAATAGATGGACCGACCACCGTGCCACCGCTTTCAAGCGGTAGAAAACGTGGAACCGCGAAGGTCTATATAGAGTCTAGCAATTTCAACGACACTTATGAATGCTTCTGAGATCTTATGACCGAAGTGTTCTTGAGCCAGAACTTCACACGTCGATAACAGTGAGCAAGCAGATCGACCTGCTAGAATACTCCTGCACAATGGCCTGGAGCATGCCACGACACCGAGGCCAGAAATGCTTGTCCCATTCGGTGTGGGTTTAACATGGTTTATATCATCATCGATCCGTCTCGTCGCCTACATCAATGACCTACATTGGGACCTATACATTCGAGTCGACTGTGCCTTCTTGCCGTCGAAGTCGGGACCAAGTAAACAAATTCTCCAGAAATGACCCCATGACCAGGTCTGGGTTCCACAAGATCCGCTTCGCAGTCGCGAACAGCAAATGTAGCCTCCCAGATCGAGTAACAGTAGCAATGCGCCAAGTAGGATCTACACTCGTGCGGAAACCAGCAAGCATGGGAAAACCTACGTTTTGGTGGGTAAAGTCGTCTCATGATGACTCATACCGACTCATCATGTACCTCATTCTAATTCTAGTGATTCTAGTGTAGTTGCACGGTGTGTTTTATCGAACCTTGCGCACTTTGGGAAAGGTGTCCGACGGTGTCCGACGTCCAGAAGTTCCAAGGAACGCAAATCTGCTTCAGGATGCCGGCCAGCCACTCCCTGAGCAGGGAATGTTCTCTCTTTTTCAGGCGATTTCCAGAGATACAAGCCTCGGGGTTTAGTCACCCGGGTTTGCAAAAAGTCACCTGGTTTATGTTTAAAAAAACCATGTAAACGCTCCCGTTTACTCCTTTTATGTAACAATGATTGCGCATGATGATCAACTGGTATGTACAGGGTCAGGCTTCAGACTTGATGAGTGACCCTGCGCAAAGAAGCAGTAAACTGTTCAAGGCTGTCTTGTCCTCTGCGACAAACTATCGTCGCTCAAAGGGAAACCAACGGGGGAAGGGACTGTCATAACAAAATCAGTAACACGCGGGTTACCGGCTTGCCTGGCTGCAAATCCCTGACTCCCAAAAAGGATCAGGATAATGTTACACTTGCTGTCAAAAAGATAACAAAAAGAGCAAAACCTCATTAGGAGCAACTGAAGATTCTCGAAGTACTTCTGACTTCAAGGGCTGCTTCAGTTGTATTCCATGGCTAAGCCTGTGCAGCTCAGCTTCTGGTTCAAGGTCACGCCGTTCTGCGAAGCACGTTGTGCACATGTCGTCAGGTCACCCCCATAGTAGGGCTCTGAGACCACATAGATGTAGGCGTGATCCTCAGGTCACGGGAATCTGAACACCTCGTGGAATCGGTTAAGGGCATATACAGTACAATCATATATTGGGTCTATCCCAATTACCAGGGTCCAGTGGATGATTATGATTAGTAAATATTAGTAAAGGCCGTTCTCAAAAAGTGATGCAGTAATCTTTTGCCGACTGTTACTGGCAATGGGCTACACCTTAATCATGTACGTATAGGCTTGGGCAAACCACAGGGCTCTGCAACCTCCGTTGGAGTGCATGATTTCCCCTGAAAGCAAACCAGGACGACTCTAAATGCGAGAGCGCATTTCTACCATCTACAGCTACATATCACTTTCTGTGGAACCCATGAGTGCATACAAAATAAGCACAAAAACATGCGGGAACGAATCTCAGTTCCCCACACATCCCCACACCCACCAGCTTTTTGAAGCCAAGTAGCTTGGAAGACCTCATAGACACGGGCAATCTTGGGATGATCCAACTTCGTCAGAAGCTTGAACTCCTCAAGCGTTAGGAGATGTTAGCTAGGGCTCCGTTGGAGAAGGTGCCCAACTGGGGCCCCAAATCTGAAAAAGTCAAAGAAGCCAGTGAACATTTGGAACATGTTAGGGAGATCTCGAAACACTCACTATAGCTTGAAACTCTGCTCTAGTTGCCTTGTGAAACCCCAGATTGAAGCTACTTCTCCCTGGTGGACTCTGCATCTTTGAGATGGGGAACCTTATGCAAATACACAGACATCAATTCTAGCATGACCCCTGGAGTCCAGTGTTTTGTGGTTTGTGATCCAAAGTCTTTAGCCACCGAATAGGGACAACCAGAAGCATTCCCAAATGCAAATGGACACAACTATTCCAAACCGCCAGCACACTCAACACACCAAGCAAGCGTCTGGGCCCGTTCGGGGAGTCGTACTACTGCCGTGCTTTTTAAATCACACTTTCTGCAGTGAACAGCAAAAAGCAGTTCGTAAGAGTCAGAGACCACAAGGAAAGGGTACATGGTACTGCTTACCACCTGAGCGCTCAACTACGGCCCGGTGCGGTGAAAAACCGCACAGCTTCGCCCGCTCAAGGCTGTTTCCGAGTCTCCGCCACAATGTCTTCCACTGGGGCATTGGCACAGTTCTTGTCATAGCACTTGACCACTCGCTTGACATTAGTGCTCCGTTCAGCTGCTAAGTATACTGCGCCTGGTGGGGTTTTTGGCGGGTAGATGCGGGTAGCGTTCCCTGACTGGAGCCGTTTGAAAATGAATGGGGGGTCTTTGCTGAACAAAAGGCCTGGAAAGCTGCAACCTTCTTATGCTACAGGAAAGGTCTCTAGCAGCATCGATCAGTTTCTTTAGGTCTCTGTATGGCCTGTTTCTGTGATTGTGTGACTCAGGATGAGTCTGGACCGAGGAACTTAATAACTATCTGGCACATTGATTGTAAGTCGGAAACATCTGAAGCCATGAACCTTCAGCACCTCGTAAGATTCACGCCCACCTAGTTCCCCACAAACTGCTTCCCTTCGTGCAACCTATGTAAAGCACCTATTAGATGGCAAACAGCTCCCCTCTACATCCGCAAAAATGCAAGCATGTGACAGTGATAGTGCTCTAGCAAGCGACTTCCAAACAAGACAATGATAAACGTTTGCCAACTATTGCAGTGACTGAGGCAAAGTTGATGAGTGCAACACCCAGCCATCTGGCTTCCCAAATTGTCCACCCAGCAGTCTTAAGTTTCCCTAAAAATCTAGGAACCAAATCATTAGTGCGAGCGCTTCTTCAGGGAAGCTTCCCGCGCCGCCTTTCGGGCGGCAGGGGGGGCTTCCTTGAAGAAGCGCGAGCTATCCTGCGTCCTAAGTGGTAGCTACTTGCAAGTAGTAGCTACCGTACCTCAATTCAGTAGGCACCTACATAATCAAGTAGGGAAGGGGGGAGCGGGTTTTTAAAAAATCATCATCCCACCAGCCAGCCTTGACCTCCTTGACCTGACGATTTCAGACCGGACGAGGCGACACGATGGCGAACACGCTCGCCCACGCAGAGGGGCCCGGGTGACTTGGAAGAGCGTGAGATGAAAACAGAATAGGTGAGCTTCCCTTTTGGCCCAAAGGAGTGTTTGTATTCTATTCAAGAATTGAAAGACATCCAAATGTTTCTACATAACACGCGAATGGACTACACCCTGGAAGAGGCTCACATCCAGCCATATGGAACCTGAAAACCACTGGGTTGCAGAGGAAAATGGTGTTCCAAAGGATAATTTTCAGGTTCCATGTGGGTCTCTTCCCGGGTGCATCAGGGAAATCAAGCTTACCATGCCTTGGGGGGTTTACCTGTTTTGACATCCGCTGAACATCTTAAACAAGAGAGGACCTATGATTTCCAATATCAAATGATCTATCTAGGGGCCCTAGGGGCCACTGTTGAAAAAAAAACACTCAAGCCGAGCTTGCTTTTGCAGGCTTGCTTGAAAAATGACAGCAGCCTCAATGGGATGGGAGGGAGCGCCTTCAAGCAAACTCCTGTGCTTATCAACATGGGTTCACTTGGAGTAATCAATTGTGCTAGTAGCTGAGCCTCTCTCCAATTCAATTGCTGACAGTCCATTTCACATCTCTGGAGTGGACATCATCCGCAGGCACGTGAAACAACAACCCCACCAGATCTGGTAACGCCCAAAGGCTGCCAATTGGAGATTGTGCAAGTCTATGACCTTGAATCAATCCAACAAAAACTGCCTTGGTTCCACGTGGTCCATCGGTGGTATGCCCAAGTGGCCCAATTTCTTTTGCAGATCGAAGAACTCCTGGGTCGATTAGAGCGGCCAGTGACGGCAAGGCTGCAGGGTGGCCCAAAAAGCTGGGTGGTCCCACCCTTCCGCCCGTCGACCCTCAACGAAATGGTCCATCAGTTATCTCCTCTGTGGTCCAGGTTCTAAGGCATTTTTTAGATGAAAGGTCCCCCTTCCTCTAATTAATATGTCATTGGTCCATTTGCTGTCAATTGAGGAACTGCTCTGATTCTCTCACTGAACAAAAGCTCCTCCAATCCCTTAAACTTGATCGACGCCCCAAAGTCTTGCACCACCGGCCGTTGCGAGAGGTGCGCTGCGCGTTTCCTTGGCAGGTCAGTGTCATGGAATGTGGTGTGAAACCGCCACAGTGTGGCAACAAACCTTGGGACATTTGCTGCAAATCCACTTAGGCTTGATGTCACTGGTTCGGTGTCCTTTAGACTTTAGATCTGAACAGTCGGCAGCAAATGATCTGGCAGCAAGAGTCGTGATGAACAATCCTGGGAAACGTTCGTTGGCAAATCGTTGGAGGGCAACAATTATGACATAGCAACATCCCCCCAAAAAAGTATCAAACATACAACTCACACATGCTGTTGCTACTTCATGGTTGTTGCGTACATCTGCCATGGCCATCAACCGTTCTTACCCTGACCATTTTGGCAATACTGTCCTACCCTGACAATATGCATGCCCCTCAAAGAACCAGCCACCTCCAACCAAGTCATTCTGCAGGTGCTGCACTCGCGCTGGCCAAAGGGGTTTTGATGGAATATGGCCAACAATTCCATGGCCATATTCCAAAAGTTGCAGGTTCGGCAAAACGAAAATTGACAAACCTCCCAGTC